ATTTGCAGCGGTGACAGTTGATTCCATGTCTAATTATCTACGCTCTGTAGGTGCGTCAACACCATAGTCAGCTTACCGTATGTGCGGCCCCAAACCCCGCACCGTCAGTCAGTATACTAAATACAAAGATAGGTAGGAAAATGGGGGCCTAAAAGGGTATATTTACCAATTACCTGCTCTTCTGCTGCTTCTTTTGCTCGATGTACTTGGCGTTTCGGGCGGTCAGCTTGCGAGGGCGGCTGCGCCTCTTTTTCTCCTTGGGGTACCAGTCAGGACTCATCGCCTTCTTGACGTTTGACAGGCTTTCCTGGCGGCGCACTTCGGCCGAACCAGGTGGCGAAAGCTTTTCCTCCCAAAACTCAACCGCTTTTGGGCCGTTCTCGCAGGCAATACAGCGCCGCACGATGTCCCGCCCGCTGATTGTACGGAATGCGTAGCCGTACTGCAGCTTTCCGCAGCAGACGCAGCGCGCTCGGGGGTCCGTCGTAGACCGCTGCGGGTTCAGCAGAAGCGGGTCAATCTTCGCCTCGCATTGCGTGCACGTAGGGCCCACCATTTTGCAAACTGTGCGTATGTTAGCAAAATATTTTGTTTTAACCAATTACTTGCGTCCAAATATTAGCCAATAGCTTGGAAATATAAGGCTGGTATTTATTATTTAGAAACATATTAGACAGTTGATACTAACGTTTTGGCTTTGCTATAATATATTAATATCAGATTCCCAAACAAATACATGCTTTACATGCAATATAAATTGACTAAAACAATTATCGATCGTGCGCGCATGCATCCGTCGGGTGCGGTGCACGGGAGCAGATAGCGCAATGACCGTGCAGCCACGCGCCTTCATTGCACGGTGGCAGTGGTGAGTGCCAGGTACGTAAAAAAGATATATATTCGCAAAGTCTCTACAAAAGCGCTGGTTGTGAAGCCTACTTTAGTATTAAAAAATACTATCGTCTCTACTTTAGCAAGTCTGTGGAAAATAGCATCGCCGAGCTTTAACAAATGCTGCCTGTGAAGCTTATATTAATCATATTAATACTATTAATATCGTCGTTTAAAGTGTGTGGAAAATTACATCCCAGAGCTCTTACAGAATACCGGTCTGTGAAGTCTACATTAATAATAATAAATATCTCTACTTGCAGAGCTCTTAGAAAATAAAGGGGTTACTGTGCCCGATTTGCAGTACATACGACAGGTTTTGCGTAGCTGAACGCAATAATCAAGTATCTGCTGGCTGTTTGCAACCAATCGATGTGTTTCGTTCTCGGCAGAAATGTTTACCTTACGTCCAATCGCGAGGGCGAGAGGCGGTCTGATCGTGCAACAGATCCAGTCAGTGTCGCAGGTCAGCAGGTATTGACCAATCAGGGCGCGAGTTAATTGTGTCCGCTTTTTGGCCATATTTGTAATATAGGCATAGTTAAGTCGAGTCAGAAAGGTAGGCGCGGTCGGTAAGAGGGGACGTAAATGTATTTATAAAGCGCCCAGTTGTAACCCCTGTCAAAAAGGCCGGAAAAAAAAAGAGAAGAACCGGGAGTGGCACGGAAGGCTATGTACAACGCAGGCAAAGGACAGAACGAACCGAACGGCTACAGGTTAGAAGCGGAGCGACTACACGCGGTCTGGGCGTCCGCTCCGCGGACGCTAAGGCATGGTTGGTTGGTGTAGAGAGGGCCGACCACCTCCGCTGCGCTGCGGTAGGCTTAGAATTTCTACTCAAAGCGAAGCAACATATAGTACATGTATACTGTGAGCTGCGTATTACGGTTCAAAACAACACCGCACACAGTATCCTTAGTGCTAATATGTTATGGTAGACACGACCAGGGTTTAACGTGATCTGCAAGAAGAGCACCATCTTACCCGGGAAGGTTTTGTCTATAATCTCGTTTGAGCGCATTGCTCCCAAAATGAACGAATCGGAGGCGTGCGTGGCTACAAAGCTAACAAATGCTGTTCAGAAGACATGTCAGTATCAGTGATGATCCACATTGGCATAGACCGGTGAGGAATCCCAGTTTAACTGGAGTAAATACGCCTACTCAAACATATTACCATCTGCACGTCATCGCAGTGAGGCAGTCGACAACATATCATCGATTGCGACGATCTATTTGGTCATCTGCTCGCGCGAAGTATCTTTTAGGACAGGTAGTATTTGCTGATGGTCGCCATAAACATCAATATTATGTCTTGAAATTGTCCCGCTGAGCTCTTTATGATTTTAATGAAGGGCCTTTCCACTATCTTTCGCATGCATTGATCATACTTGCATAGCTGACGCACTTACTGACGTATGTACATAAATACGGGCCGACAGAGTGGCGTAGGTCCTTTCCGACTGGCATTTACTGGTTCCTAAATGTATGCCAAACACACAAAGCCACATGGCTGTAGACAGAGTATCAAATTGTAGTGGTGTTTTGACTTAATCTGAAATGTAGCTCATGTACTGTACATTTTATGAAGTACATTTGCTGCCTACTTATCAACTCGGCGTGCTTTTTGATATGTCCGTGCATATATCGCAAGGTCGCTAATGAGTGTGTATACCACGCGCTCGTGAGAGCCAAAACCTATGTATAGGGTCACTGTCGCTCTCTTGGTACATTTGCGTCGTCGTGCTGGCTTACTGTGCTTACGTTTCTGATGTACCAGTCTATATGACCAGGCGCGTTACTAACTCGGCACATGCCATACCGCAGAGATACATGATAGATGACCGCGCGGCGGGTACACGTATAACCATCCCCAGCTCTGATCCCGACCAATTTGAGCAGGGCACTAAAGTACGGTACTGCGTACAGACACATCAACTTGCCACATCCACTTGTATGATCTGCATTACCGCACACATGCTCGTGTCTGTGTAGACAGCAAATTATTCGTCGCGCGTAGAGCTCACTCCATACTGTAGTTTAATTTATGAGCGCACATTACTGGAATATACACCGTAAGCGTTGATGGTACACGTAGCACGGATTTGCGTGTGTCCAAGTGAGCGAGTGTACTTTTCATCTACGGTGGCGCCTATGTGGATAGGGACGGTCAGTTTGCAGCGGTACACAGTTGATAGCACGTGTTAATTATTAAATGAAACGTGCTACGCTCTGTAGGTGCGTCAAAACGTTTGGCAGTGCCAAAGGCAGCTTGCCGTATGTGCGGCTCCAACCCTCGCACTGTAGTCGGGTATACTAAATACACAAATAGGTAAGAAAATGGGGGCCTAAAAGGGTATATTTACCAATTACTTTCTCTTCTGCTGCTTCTTTTGCTCGATGTACTTGACGTTTCGGGCGGTCAGCTTGCGAAGGCGACTGCGCTTCTTCTCCTTCTTGGGGTACCAGTCAGGACCCATCGCTTTCTTGACGTTCGCCAGGCTTTCCTGGCGGCACCCTTCGGCCGACTCAGGTTGTGAGGGCCTTTTCTCCCAGATATCATTTGCTTTTGGGCCGTTCTCGCAGGCAATACAGCGCCGCACGATGTCCCGCCCGCTGATTGTACGGAATGCGTAGCCGTACTGCAGCTTCCCGCAACCGACGCAGCGCGCCCGGGCATCCGTCGTAGACCGCTGCGGGTTCAGCAGAAGCGGGTCAATCTTCGCCTCGCATTGCTTGCACGTAGGGCCCACCATTTTGCAAACTGTGAGTAAGTTAGCAAAATATATTGCTCTAACCAATAACTTGCGTCCAAATATTTGCCAATAGCACGGTACTGGAAGACTGGTATTTATCATTAGGCAAAATATTAAAATGTTTTAAAATAGTATTATTTGGTCTTGCTATAATAGTACTTTTATCATATATTTTAAACAAATACATACTTTACATGAAATAAAAGTGACTAAAAGACTATGTACTGGCGCGCATGCATTCGTCGAGTGCGTGCACGGGAGCAGATACCGCAGTGACCGTGCA